AGGATCTTTAAGCTTCAGGCAACAGAAACCTGTTCTGGCTAATTCCAGCAGAAAAGCAATCTGTTTAATTATTGTAATTCCTAGAAACTTTAGGGCCCTAGAGGACCATAATCTGGTTTAAAGGCCACATTGCCCAGAAATATTGGCCCCATCAGTCACATTGCAGGATGGTACAGAGAAGATGCTGCTGATGCCTCCACTACTAGGGAAAGGCAGCTTGCATGGACAGAAGCTACTGACCAATTGCTGCCATCATTTTCCATCACAAAATGAGTTATTTGCTGCCGTGAAATTTGAATCAAAGTTTAGGATAGGTGCTTCTGGTGGTGGAACCTCAGTCAAGTGCCCACAACCCTAGCTGCAATGAAAACAAGGCGGAATGCGGGTAGAAATAAGTCTAAGAGGTACATGAAGGTCAAATTATGGAGGACCTATCCTATTGGTTGTTAAGTGTGGAACACATACCATTAGTGATTAAAGGACAGATACTAAAATGTAAAACTATTAAAAGGAAAATATATTAGAAAGATGTATCTAGCACAGCCTGAGATTTCATTGTTTATTGGAAGGGCAAGTTATATTTTAAAGTAGGAAGCTTTAGACCCAATTAAAAAAAATAAAAACCAAAGTAAATATGACAAATTAGATGGTATATGACTCTAAATTTTCTTCTTCTAATATAAATATTTTGGAGGAGTGCATGACCGGACTCTGCAGATAGAGATCTGGGAGTGTGCCTCAGCAAGAATTCTTACCTTTGCCTGCTCATTCTAGAGGCATCTTTCTACTGCAGGCACTTCAGCATAAGCAGTGCCCAGCTGGTGAGGTATCCTATTCATGATGCCAACTGTGGGGGCAGAATAAACTTCCTCTGCCCTCAAGGTTCTTTCGCTCATATACTCCTTCAAAAAAAATTGAAGAAGAGGGATACTTCCTAATTTTGTGAGGCCAACATTATGCTGATACCAAAACCAGGCAAGGATAACACATAAAAAAGAAAATTACAGGCCAATATCTGATGAACATAGATGCAGAAATCTTCAACAAAATAATAGCAAATCGAATACAACAATACATTAAAAAAGATAATGCATCATGATTAAGTGGGGTTCATTCCAGGGATGCAAGGATGACTCAACATATGCAAATCAATTAATGTAATACACACATTAACAAAATAAAAGATAAAAGTCACATGGTCTCATCAATAGATATAGGAAAAGCATTTGACAAGATACAACACCCACTTATAATTAAAACACTCAATACAATGGGTATAGAAGGAAAGTACCTGAGCATAATAAAGGCCATATATGACAAACCCTCAGCTAATATGCTCAATAGTGAAAAACTGAAAGCTTTTCCTCTAAGATCAGGAATAAGATAAGAATGCCTACTTGTGCCACTGTTATTCAACATAGTACTGGGAAGTCCTAGCCAGAGCAATTAGGCAAGAGAAAGAAAAAAAGGGCATCCGAATTGGGAATGAAGAAGTAAAACTGTCACTATTTTCAGATGACATGATTCTACATAGAGAAAACCCTAAAGACTCCACCCAAAAGATGATTAGAAGCAATAAACAAATACAATAAAGTTACAAGATACAAAATCAATATACAAAAATCTTCTGGGTTCCTATATACTAACAATGAAATATCGGAAAAAGAAATGAAAACAAAATCCTATTTGCAATAGCAACAAAAAGGGTAAACTATCTAGGAATAAAGGAAGGAAGTGAAGGACCTAGTCACTAAAAACGGTAAGACACTGTTGAAAGCAATTGAAGACACAAAGAAATATATATATATATATAAAAGTGTAATATGCAAATCGACTGGACGGCTATGACGCGCACTGACCACCAAGGTGCAGATGCTCAACGTAGGAGCTGCCCCCAGCCCGCAGGACCAAATCGCCTGATTGGGGCCTGCAGGCCAACATCTTAATCCCTCCCCCCGGCTGCAGGCTCCAATCACCCGATGGGGAACGGGGAACCAGAGGTGGGTGGCAGTGGACATGGGTGGCGCCGGGCCCTGATCGTCCCGCCAGTCCCCCCCACACATACACAGGGCAACCAGTGGCAGTGGGGGGCAGGGCCAGCTGCTGGCAGTGGGTAAGATGGCCCTGATCGCAGGCCAGGCCTAGGGACCCTACCCTGCACAAATTTTGTGCACCGGGCCTCTAGTGTAAATATATCTCCTGTTCATGAATTGGACGAATTAACATAGTTAAAATGGAACAGAAAGAACAAATGTCCCAAATTGGGACAAGTAAATGGGAATAGATGTCCCAAATAGGTCAGGATAGCTCCCAAATGACTTCCTGAACTCCAGGACTCTTGGCCTGGTCACAGTGGCACATTAGATAATTGTGCCAGAGGCTGTCACCTCTTTTAAGTACCACAGGGAGGTCAAATTACCATAACTATAATGAGGGAGACCTTAAACTATTAACCTTAGTTTACAGCTATTTTCCCCCACACTCATTCTACTTCTGAAGAAAAAGGGGCAAATGACATGGCTGGCAGCGCTAACCAGAATCAGGAGCAGAGGCACTACGCCTCTGCCATGGCCTCTTTCATTTCTCCTCTCAGGTTCTCTTTATATATTCAAATTAAGTGGTTACTTGAGAGAGGACCCACTGAGTGTGCCTCCCGAGCCTCACACCAGGTCAAATACATTCATTCCAGAAAACAGGAAGTTTAACCATTGCCATGGCAATATTGATAGCCCACAACATAAGAGCAGAAGGCAAAGAACAAAGGGATTTGTGAACGTTAACCTCTCCGTGGGTCTTCTCTCCCTTGAAACTCACCCATACTGCTTATTTGAAAGTGCTCGAAGAGCTTGAGTTTTTTTGGTACTATTTCTGAATAGAGCTTTGGAACTTCTCTGTACTTTACTCTAACATGTTCCTGGAGATTAGCCCAACCCCAGGCTGGAAATCTGCTGAGTGCCACAATCTTATTAATATGCAGTGAGATTCTATTTCTGACCACTCACCAGCAGTCTGGCTACCAACTGGGCTACCAATCAGCTACAAGGTAAGATAAATGATAAAACTAAAAAAAATTTTTTTAATGAAAGGGAAAACCAATTAAATTGAAGCTTCACCATCACTTTAGGTTGAGAGTTTACAGAGGAAGCATTATGGTATTTAAGGGAGAACAGCTGCCCCAGGGTGGAGTGGAAAAATACCATGAGCTGGGACAGGAAAGGAGGTCTGTAAGGCTGAGGAGAGGAGGCTGCTACAAATGTGCCCCTCCCCCTCGTTCAGCAGCCTCAACTGAATACTGTCTCCTGTGTGAGAGGCTGAAAAAGGATTCTTGTCAAGAGTCTCAAGGCAGAATCCAGCAATGAGCAGGCAATTCGAGCAACGCCAGGCCCAGTTTATCAGATGGGCTGCACAGGTTTATCCAGTATTAAAAAACAGTGATTGCCAGAGACTGCTTTTTTAATAGGCAGAATGTGTATAGCTGATATAAAGGGACAGTATCCTCATTTATAAGCGAGAATAAAAACCTCCTCCATTAGGTAATGTGTGACACATTAACACTAAATCTTACCAATTTATCTTTCATCTTTGGTGGTGAACTTGGAGAGTAAATAAAATGATTAAGAAAGAGACCCTATTGCCCTAGCCCAGCAGTTCTCAACCTGTGGGTCACGACCCCTTTGGCGGTCGAACGACCTTTTCACAGGGGTCACCTAAGACCATCCTGCATATCAGATACTTACATTACGATTCATAGCAGTAGCAACATTACAGTTATGAAGTAGCAACGAAAATAATTTTATGGTTGGGTCACACCATGAGGAACTGTATTTAAAGGGCCAGAAGGTTGAGAACCTCTGCGCCGGTTTGGCTCAGTGGATAGAGTGTTGGCCTGCGGACTGAAGGGTGCTGGGTTGCGGGCTCCATCTCCAGTGTGGGGTGTGCAGGAGGCAGCCGATGGATGATTTTCTCTCATCATTGATGTTTCTGTCTCTCTCTCTCCTCCTCCCTTCCTCTCTGAAATCAATAAAATATATTTAAAAGAAAAGAAAGAGACCCTATTGCCCAGCCAGCATGGCTCAGTGGTTGAGAGTTGACCTATGAACCAGGAGGTCACAGTTCGATTCCTGGTCGGGGCACATGCTCACCTAGATTCTGTATTACTATCTCCAGGATCTATAGCTTCCTGCTGCCATGCCTTTTACACTTACAACTCTGGAAAAGATATATGAATGGTCCTAATGTGAATGGAGAAAATGGCCCCTAACATCCACTAGAAACACTTGGGTTGGCTATAAGGAAGAACCTTCCTACCATAAAGGTAATGGAATTTGATGTCCTATTACTAAAAAAAGGGTTCTCCATTACTACATAAATGGCATTTATCGCTGAGTTCCATTGACTTCTCCTGTAAATTTTGAGTGCCATATAAGAATGCAACTTTACTTTTGATTACCTGGGGTGTTTGTGAAAAGCACTTATTTGGGTCCTACCTCAGTGCCAATAAACCGGACTCTTCCATGGAGGAGCCTAGGAATCAGTATTTTTAACAAATAGCCCAAGTGATTTTCATAATCAGGAAAGTTTGGAAAACACTAATCTAAGGCTCTGCTTATAGTCATATAAAGCTATTAATCCTCGGGAAGAAATGGATGATTCAAAGAGGGAAACTGGCTAGACAGATGAGTCATACGCACCTCATGAGTGAGTTAGGAAAGTCAGAATTTTAGGGGGAAAGACTGACTGTATAGTTAGAGTTGGAGCTAGCATTCTTAGCACCACTTTGCAGTCATTAGCGGCTTGTTCCAGGCCCTGCCTCTCTACCTCCTTGCCTTCCACACACACTTTTTATTGCAACAAGACTTTGCCTGAAGACTCTGATAGATCTTAAACTGCAGGTGGAATCCAATAGCAGACGAGAGACACTTCCCAAGTCCCTGCATGTGAGAGAGAAGACTGAACGGTCTGTTACCTCCCTGCACAGACATCTCAGATCCCCCACTTACCCAAATTGGAGAGCCTTTTCATCAAGCCAGCTTCTCTGATAGCAGCAGGACCATGTTCCACTCCTTTTCTTTTCTGTCACACAAATTACACAATGAGATGCGAGGGGAGATGATTGAAAAGAAGACAACTATAGTTCACAAAAATAAAGACATCTGCTATGCTACACGGGATGTATCTGCAAGGAATGTATTCCAAGAGACCCCCATGGATGCCTGAAATCGCAGATAGTACCGGACCCTATGATAAAGTTTAATTTATAAATTAGGCACAATAATAGATTAACAACAATAACTAATAATAAAATAATTATAACAATAAAATAAGGGTTAGCTGAGCACGCAGTGCTGTATCTCAACCTGATAACTAAGAAGGCTAAGTGACTAACCCGTGGGTGGTGCCTACAGCATGAACACCGGACAAACGATCCTGGACAGGACAGAGCAGGACTGCTTGAGATTCATCACAGCTGCTCGCAATAGGGTGCAATTGAAAACTTGTGAATTGCTTATTTCTAGAATTTCAATTTGACATTTTCAGACCTCAGTTGATAGTGGGTCACTGAAATATTGGAAAGGGAAACCAAGGGAGGACGACTGATCTTAGTTCCCAATAGAACCCTCTCAAACCTGACATTCTCAGTATTTTCACCGGAGGTCTGGTTATTTCACACACTTGCAGGGAAGGAGGGGAAAACAACAATCACTGGAATCAAATTAACCTTCCAAGCCCCATGTGTGAAGGGCGAGCGGGAGCCAAGACAGGCTGAGCCAGGTGAGGATCTGGTGGTTGGTGTACGTGGCTGGCAGGGGCCAGGCCCCTGGCTTCTCTACCAGTGAGCTCCCAGGGCTGCGGGTTTCTTTCACGAAGAGAGAACAAACAGCCCCTCCCGTCCTGCCGACGCTGGAGCGGCCAGCGCCAATTTCCTTCCCAGTTAATGCTCTGAGAACGAATCCCGAATTCTTAGAAATCGCTCCCTTTCGCCTCCACTCTCTATTTTACACAGCGGATTCCTGACGGTTTCTCCTCCTCCAGCCCCTCCACGGACTCCTCTCCCTCCTTTCCGCTCCTCCATCACCCTCAGCGGGACCCACCACTTCCTCGCTCCGCCCGGGGAGGCCGCGGAAACCCGCCAGCTCGGAGCCCCCCGCCGAATCGCACACAGGGTTCCCTCCATCCCCTCCCTCCTTCCCTGTTTTCTAGGGGGAAAGGTCCCACGTGCTCTCCCGGTGCCCAATCGCCGGAACCACCAGGTTTTCCCCATCCTCTCCTCGATTCTTCGAACCCCTACCCCCCACCCCCTCCGCTTTCTCTGGTTCTAGCGGACGGAGATCCCGTTCCCCGGTGCCAGGTCCTAGTTCTCACCTGTCCCCGTGAGAACGGGGCTCCGATCACAGCCACCGAGTGGACAGACTTTTTCAGAACGAAATGCACTTGCGTCCGGAGACGCGAGAGGCTGCAGCTTAAGGACATGATGGGCAGCGCGGAACGTTGCCAAGCGACCGGCTGCTCCGTGCGCTTCGCCGCCTGAAGTCTAGAGCTCTGTCTTCGGGGGCGATTATGGCGGTCATGGGTGGCATTTACTGCTAGTGCGGTTCAGTCGGCAGCTTAACCGCCTCCCGCACACCTTCCGGCAGGCCCCGCCCACTGCTCCCCGATGTCACCCCACCACCGAGCCGGCTCTCCATCCAGGGAGCCCCAGCGGCTGACACCATGAAACCAATGATCAGGGTCTGGCCATTAAGAGATGGTTACAACAGGTGTGTCTCTCCGTGGGTAGCGGCCAGTCCTCGCGGATCAAGGAAAAGGGATGGCTAGGCTGAGACTGGTCTCACCCAACCCTCAGGGAGTGCCCTGCCAAGACCAAGCCTGCATCCACCTGCTCCGGTCCATCTCAGAGCTCAAGGTCCAAAAAACGCGCTTACCTTTGGGAATTGAAGGCCAGGAGATCAAATCTAGATCAGAGCTCTCTGGGCCAGGCGTATTAATAAAATCCCACCTAGTTTAGGTGTTTCGGATGGGGAGCTTAGGATTTACAATTACCTTCCAGATGTTTTCCATTCTTTACCTGAATAATGAGAACACTGGTTATTAAAAACCAAACACAGCAACATATCTGAACTAGCTGAAAGTAACAATTAACTAGAGTATTAGTAATCGATAATAATAAATTAGACCGGACTTCCTTCTGGAGGAAGCCCAGGTCCCGGGTGCCAGAGGGAAGCCAGTGCCGGCAGCGGGGGAAGAAATGCCTACTCTTGTGTGAATTTCGTGCCTCGGGCCTCTAGTATTTTAATAATAGTAACCAACAGTTTCTTTTTTTTTTCTTTAAGTATATTTTTATTGATTTTACAGAGGAAGGAAGAGGGATAGTTAGAAACATAAATAAGAGAGAAACATCGATCAAGCCTGCAACTAAGGTACATGCCTTTGACTGGAATCGAACCCAGGACCCTTTAGTCCTCGGACTGAGGCTCCATCCACTGAGCCAAACCAAACCGGTTAGGGCAGTACCAACAAAGTTTCTTAGAACTTTTAGCCCTCTAACACTTCCATAAAGTACGGTAGCCCCCCTTATCCTTGGCTTGCCCAAGTTTCAGTTAACCACGGTACAAAAAGATTAAATGGAAAATTTAATGAGTTTTAAATTGCATGTCATTCTGAGTTATTGATGAAATCTCCACCATCCTGTTCCATCCTGGCTGGGCTGTGAATCACCCCTTCATCCAGCATATCCACAGATGCATGATACCCATTCATTAGTCACTTAGTAGCCCTCTTGACTATCAGATCAACTGGTCCTTATTGCATCATCACAGTGCTTGAGTTGGAGTTACCCTTGTTTTACTCAATAATGGCCTCAAGTGCAAGAGTAATGATGCTGGCAATTCAAATATGCCAAAGAGAAGCTGTAGAGTGCTTCCTTTAAGTGACAGTTGAGTATGTATAGGGGGTCTTGAAACATGTCCCCGGGGATAAAAGGGGGACTACTATAGGGATTATTTTAAATTCAAGGAATCGGGATCAGAGAAGATAAGTAACTTTCCCGAAGTCACATAGCTTGGAAGTGGCAGAGCTCTGTGACTCCAGATTCTAAATTCTTAACTATGTCACCACAGCTTGTAAGATTCTGGACGTTAGTCCTACCAAAATAATTTTTAATTGATTTTTAGAGAGAGGGGTGTTAATGTAAATACCTGAAAAATATTTCCTGATGCCAAGTTACATGCTGCTTTCCAAATTATTTCAGAGGTCTCCATGGCAACATCATAACTCCAAGCAGCTGTAGTAATGTACTAGTAAGGCAGCATATTTAGTTTTAGAGGATAAATTTTATTCCTGTCTCCCCCTGCTGGTTTAACAAAGAAATGTCTTTGAAGCCTTAGCAAAATAAAGCGGGTATTACTGTCAGGCAATGTTGCTGAAAGTACGGTCCCAGACCAGTAGCGTCAACATTTGCACACTTGTCAGAAATGCAAATTATTGGGCCCTACCCCAAGCTTACTTAGTTACTCTGGGAATGGGGAACCAGCAACCTAAATTTTAAGAAGTTCTCCAGGGTGGGGAGATGTAGGGAACAGTAGAGATGCCATCAGGGATTCAGTCACTGTTACTGCCACACTTGCTCAGATCCTTGGAATTATTTTGGTACCTTTCTCTTTCCCATCACCACATCCAATTTCTCCCCTTTCCTATGTTTTCTGAAGTTAGTACTGGCACAGACTACCTCAGTATATCCCGGACTATTGCAAAAACCTCTTTTTGAGCACTTACTGGGAGTCACCAGATTGACCATTCTAAATCAATCCTGCATGTCACTTTCAGTGGCTTTCCACTGCCCATGGTTTATTAAGAGGTAAATTACTAATTCCTCATTATTATGCATCAGGGGAATGAATAGTAAATTACTAATTCCTCATTATTATGCATCAGTGTTAGAGTAAAGGAGAAACACAAGAGGAAGACTGAGTTTTTCCTAAAATATTTGTGTATAAAATGTAATACCTAGAGCAACCACTCAAAAAGCTACATAAAGAGATACTCCCAAACACTCTATAGATAAATCAAATTGGAATTCTAAACAAGGAAAGATAAAATATGTTATACTCATCTTTTTATGCAAAGTAAATTAATTTACTGATCAATTTCACTAAATTGCAACAAGTTTTTTTAATTAAATCTTTATTGTTCAGATTATTACATTAGTTACTCTTTTTCCCACCATAACTCCCCTCCACCCAGTTCCCACCCCAACCTCTGCCCTCACTCCCCACCCACTGTCCTAATCCATAGGTGCACGATTATTGT